CAATAGTAACTACACCTTTTTTTATCTAGTTCGTTTATTTGTAAGGCTCAATCGCGTTAGCTTTACGGAGCCGTAGTAACTACACCTAATCAAAGGAAATTAACGAACAATTAATTACACTGAACTTAAAGACAATTCCTACATTTTAAATACCTCTACAAGCACACAGCGAAACTATTTAAAAACCTTCAAAGTCCTGTCTCTTCCACGGGTTGGATTAAAGTGGACGAGAAAGAACTTGGAATTCCTCAGAAAGGCCGCGCAAACAATGCTTGGCCTTCGTTCCGGAAACCGAAAAAAAACGATCTTATCAAAAGGCGATCTCCGATTACCTTCCGATTCGATCAAAGATACTATCTCTTTTCCTCCCCAGTATCCCACATCTGTCTAGCTCATTCCAATCTTTAACTTAAAGTGTTTTTCTTATTATTAAATTTCCGACGACAAGTAATCCTACTGGAAGATTATACTCAATCCCACGGATCAAAATTTCATGCCACCTCAAATGAGAAAACTTACGTGCCTAGTGAGCGTATGATATGAGTTCACCAGTTGCATACAAGCGAATTAGGATAGTGCGTGTCGTTTCGAATAGTAACAGGACACATTTGTAGCATTTGAACTTCATGCTACATTAATCTAATACACTGGAGTCGCTTTTTACGCGAGGGATACGTGCCGCGTAAAAAAACCTCGTAAATTCCGGAATCCGCATAATGGATTCCCGGCAATCTCTGCGAAAAGTGCTGTTGGTGCCTTTATTGAACAGCCTAATTTACAGCTTTGCCCTCTTGCGTTGGTATATCTGTTTCCCCACTCCACTGCCTAAGCACAAGGTTGCAAATACTCATTTCAGCTAAAACAATTTTTTTTTTAAATTATGAAATAATTAGATGCTATGATCATATTTTGAATAGATAAGATACAAGAAGAGGTTGCAAAGAATGTGTTTGACACAGTGTTCGGAAAAACTCAAAAACTCAAATATTATGCATGAGTTTATGCGCCTATGAGTTTTGCCTTGCAAAATCACCGATGAGTTTTCAGGTTCAAAAATTCATTGCCTTATATTTTTGCGTTATTCATTGTTATTACTATTGTTTGTGCATCAGGGGTTGGAAAACTAACACAACATGCATAGGCATTATATCAATTGATGTTTGAGTGGTTTTTAAGAGTTACTCATACTCATTACTCAAGCTGGATGATTTTTCGGCGTTGTGAGTGTGAGTGCGTGAATATGCATGAGAATCTCAAGCGTGAATTTTGTTTGCCGCATTCGCACGCGAGTTTATTCTCGCAGGGAGGCTGAATGAATGAGATTTGAGAATGATTTTCCGAACACTGGTTTGACATATTAAAACTGTCAGCGATTTTTCATACACTCACTCACTCACTCACTCACTCACTCACACACTCACTCAGCGATCAGCAAATCGCTGATTGTGACTCATAGAAAGCAAAATTTATAGGTTTTATGTTTCATATGACGCATATGACGCATAATTTGTAACCTCTTCTTGTAAGTTACAAGTAAAACATGTCATCATACCATCTTTTGGTTTTATTATTCCGAAAAACATTATTTTAGCTGAAATGAGTATTTGCAACCTTGCCTAAGCATTGAAGTCTCCTCCGATAACTTCGTCCGAACAGCTCATCGGTAAGTCCAACTAGCGTTTCGTGGAACTGCCCCATCGTCCATAGGGTGCGTAGCAACTGCCGTCCTTGAATGGGATATCTGCCCATAACTTGTATTGCAGCCATCCCAGCTCTATCCGCCACCTAGTTACCTTTATCGGGAGGGACTCGATACAGCTGTGCAGTGCCGCAATAATGGAGGTTTATTTGAGTTACCTCTGTTATTGTTGCGACAAAACAATTAAGTGTCATTTGGAGCGAAATGTTTCAGAATTCATGCTTAAAAGTCAAAAAGTTCTGCAAAATCTTCAGACTGACAAAATCGGGAAAGCACTGTATTACGTATTTAAAGCAAAAATGTCAGCAGATGATCCACTTTCTCCGTTCAATTTGTGGCACATGGTAGGGTGCTCATCCCGGAGACCTCATTACTCTTTATAAAACAACAATTCTCTCTGTACCAAGCTTGCAAATGATCATTACAGCTAAAATACTTTTTTTTCGGATTTATGATGTTATGAGATATTTTAATGATAATTGTTATTTACAAGATGCAAGAAGAGAAGGTAAAGTGTGTGCATGACACATAAAACCTATCAATTTAGCTTTCAGAGGGTCACAATAGCGATTAGCTGTAACGATGAGCGAGCAATCAGCGATCATAAAATGAGCGTGACCTTCTGATAGCAAAATTGACAAATTTTATATGTCATACACAAACTTTCCCATCTCTTATTGCTTCTTACAAATTAAAATTATAATGATAAAGTATCTCATAGTTTCATAATTACGAAAAATAGCATTTTAGCTGTAACGAGCAATCACAAGCCTGCTCTGTACTGGAGTCCGGCTCTTTCTGCTTTCTCTCGGCAAGAAAAATGGAACGAATTCAATATCATTGTCTGCGTATTGCTCTCGGCTGTATGCACTCAACGCATAACATGAGTCGCATAATACCTCTCCAGAACCGTTTCTGGGACATCTCTTTCAGAATACTAATCAAATGCGGAGTGACGAACACACTTATAATTGCAAAATTTTGAAGAAATTCTTGGTCGGATATGTGTCTTCCTTGTTATACTCCAGACCGTGCTCACTTCACCAATCACCAATTGAATATGATATGACCATGAAACCAGCAACACATGGGATTCCCGATCAACTTCGACCTATTACTAACCCTCGTATTTTTTAAGTACCAACACGTTAATTGCGTGCAAAGATGTTTTACAGGCGGGTCTCGTCTCAGATCCACTGGCTTCGGTGTCTTCAATGAAAACTCCTATCCTTCCAACTTCTACTAGACATAGAATTAAGTGAATTTTGTTACAAACAAAGAAAAGTGAATTATCGGCTCCGTATAGCTAACGCGATTGAGCCTTCCAAATAAATGAACTAGATAAAAAAATCCCATGTTTGCAAGGCTTATGTCTCTTGTACTGATATGTGTCTTTTTTCAATGTACAGAAACAACATGCTGTTTGAGAGAATTAATAATTCCATGAGGTTTTGGAGATTTAGGTCTTTAACGTGTTCATGAAAATTGAAAATCTACATTCCATTTTTTTCTTAAAATTAAACGGTAATTTTTGACAGCTGAATTTCATAGACTATTCTTTAGATACCATACCAGCTAAGCAGATTGACAATGGCCACGCGATGACCCCGAAACAGGTTCCAGAAGCCCCCGGGGAAGTGGTCAATTTCTGATTGCAACATAAACTAATAATGCGTAATTTCAAAATGTTCAGAATGTCATGGACATGTCATTAGATACCATGTCAACTAACAAGAGTGACAAAGGCTACCCAATGGCCCTGGAACAGGATCCGAAACCCCCAAGGGAGAGGTCAATCCCTGATTTTAACATAAACTAGTCATTCAGTATATCAAAATTTTCATAATTTCATGGACATGTCATAAGAGACCATGCCATCTGACAAGAGTGACAAAAACCATCCGATGGCCCTGGAACAGATTCCAGAAGCCCCGGGAAGAGGCCAGTCTCTTATTGTAAAAGAAATCAGTCGTACGACATATCAAAATTTGCATAATTTCATAAACAATTCATTAAAGACCATATTAACTAAGCAGAATACAATGGCATCGCAATGACCCAGTACAGGTTCCAGAAGCCCCGGGGGAAGTTGCTAATTTCTGATGGCAACATAAACTAATCATGCGACTTTTCAAAATTTTCATAATGTCATGAACATGTCATTAGAGACCATGTCAACTGACAAGAGTGACAAAGGCCGGAACAGATTCCGGAAGCCCCAGGGGAAGTGGCCAGTCTCAGCACCAGAAGGCTAAATCATATCAAACTTCGCAATTTCTAATTGATTCTAATTTCTAATTTGAAATTATTGGTTGGCCACATGCTTCATGGCTTCCGGAACCTGTTCCAGGGACATTGGGACATTGGATGGTCATTGTCACTCTTGTCAATTGGCATGGTCTATAATGACATGTTCAAAAAATTCTGAAAATTTGAATATGCCGCATGACTAGTTTCTGCTGAAACTAGAGAATGGCCTTTTCCTCAGGGGCGTCCTGAACCTGTTCCAAGGACATTAGGTGGCCATCGTCATTTTTCGCAATTGGCATGCTCTCTAATGAATTGTCCATGAATTTCTGAAAATTTTGATGTGCCGCACGTCTAGTTTTGTTGAAATCATAGATCGGCCACTTCTACCGGGGCTTCCGGAATCTGTTCCAGGGATATAGGGTGGCCATTGTCACTCTTGTCATTTGGTTTAGTCTCTAATGACATGTCCATCAAATTCTAAAAATTTTGATATGTCGCATGGCTAGTATTTGTTTAAATTAGAGGATGGCCACTTCCACCGGGGCTTATTATTATTATTATTTAGCTTTATTTAGGAGGCTTTCAGCCTTAGGCTGGTTCGCCTCCAACTCCACCGGGGCTTGTCTAATGGCATGTTCATCAATAGAAATTCTTGATGGACTGCACGTCTGGTTCTGTTGAAATCAAAGATTGGCCACTTCCTCTGAGGTTTCCGGAACCTGTTCCAGAGACTTTGGCTGGTCCATTCTGGAATTCATGTACGCCATCTTTTAGTTCTTGTCTAAACCTGCAACTTTGCAGAACATTATTTGGTTCTATCTTATTGTCTGAGGTTCGTAAAAAGCGTGGGTACCCGGGTACCCCGTCACCCGTTTAAGGGGTACAAATAGTACATAGCTCTTGATTAGCCCCTCGTTCACTCAAATTTTATTTCAATTCAAACATCAAAATGGGTACCCGGGTACCCCGTCACCCACATAAGGGTAATGAAAATCATTTTCTCTTTTTGTTTTTCTTTTAGAAAAAATCCCACTACTTAGTCCCCACATACCTGTATCAGTGGCGAGTTGATGTCCTGGACCTGTGTGCTACTGCTCTGTGGCCGGACTGCCGAGCCTGCATTGGATGTGGTAGTGCTATAAATACACGAATAACGGAAAAGAAACGAAATCAGTTAAATTACAATACTGGCGGAAACTGCAGAAATGACGCTGGGAACCAATCTTCGACAATGTTCCAATATCGGTATATAGCTATCAGCGTCATGCCCTTGCAGCGATTCAAGGCTACAGTTTATGTATATATGGATTGTCCAATAAATTCCTCTAAAATACGATGATGCAAACGTGGCTATAAAAATGAGAACGTTGAATCGAGTGGGTGAGTTAATAATTCAAAAATCTTAGTAACAAACGAGCAATGGAATCGACCTTGGCTAGCTGCCAACAATCGCTACTGCACTGAGTGAAATCGTGTGGTGGATAATGAGTGAATGTAAGATCCAAGTAAGCGGAAAGTAAACACGTTTACCGACTGCCAGACTGGCATACTGCGATGGGTGTCGGTGTTTTATTTCCAATCATTCTCTTAAAAAAGGAAGAAAACAAAAACGATGAACCATGAATGAAATATGTGTTTATGAGAACCCTTGCGTTGGAATGCTACGAAACCGCGACGACGGCGACGACGACGGGTGTGAGCTATAAATAACGACACCGTTGCGGAATAAGCGATGAAAATCTGTACCCACCAGTAGACGAACGATGGAATGTTTGACGGGTGTTATAAGGTAGGAAAACTATGCGAAACTATATACTTATGGGGAAATCCATTTCCCGGCGAATGCGAGTGGAACATGTTGGAAGGAACACAGAGAAGGTGCTTGGTTCTAAGCACCAATTAAAATTTATTTACGGTCTAAAAAGAGGCAACAATTTCAGTGTTTGCCAAATGTCATGACATTTCACGGCTTGCTGTTTGTCTGGACTATACACACAAAAAAATGGTAGGATGCCCCGGGTTTTCAATCAATGTGCCTAACCTAATTGGGTCACATTCTAATAAATTATAAAATCACTTCTCGCCAAAATAGATCATCCGATTACAACATCACGGAAGGCTAAACGGACGAAGTGGCAGCGTGTCGCGTGCAGTCAATTTTCAGCCCCAGGCGGTGGCGTGTGGGATCATTAGCTCCTCTAAGGGGCTGTTCATAAACTACGATCCCTCCTTCCTCCGTGTGGACAGTCGACCACACGAAATTTTTCGAACTGTGTATGGACGTGGACATTCAACAACCCTCTAAAGCGTCTACGTGGTTTATGAACAGCCCCTCTAACCTGTTCTATACGCATCAAGTCGGGCGGCGGGCGGAACAAGCGAAGGGAAATTGGGTCAGCAGTGCCATTACATGTGTTATTTCGGTGGCAAACTGACGAAATAGAGAAAGAAAAACGGTCGGCAATCAACTGCCGGCGGTCTCGAACCATGCACGAACGCACGCACACAAGGCAGTCGCGATTTGGGAAGCATTGGGCGGAAAAGAATTATTTTCCTAGCCCGTAAATTACAATCGTAGCAGGCCATCTCCTTACTCGGGTACAGTAGCAACCGATTGGAGTGAACCGGACCGTAAACATGAATGAAAAACGATTCTTCTTGACCATGTTTTTTGACGCAACGGTGAAATCCGATCAAACAGCGTTCCACGATCGGCAGTGGCGGTTTTCGTGGTCTCAAAATGCCTCATTGTCTGTAGTTTTTGACACCCAAAAAAGAAGGAAAATGGAATGACATGAAACCACCAATCAATGTCAAAAATTACAGTGAAGGATTCAGTTTAAGAACCTTCCCAGGCTGCTATTACTGACTATGCATCACACCATATTTAAAATTGATGAAAGATCAGCAAACTTTCCAGCAATATAATGCTGCTGAATCTTCCAGCATTTCCAACTTCCGTAAAAAAGACAAAATTTTAATGAAAATCAGCAAAGATTTTAGCATTGGCAGAATTTTGCTGAATAACCTCAGTAAATCGCTCTTTACTGGGTGTCCAGCAAACCGTTTGTGTTTGCTGAATTGGTTTGCTGACCATGATCCAGCAATCTATTTTACGGATACTGAAACCACAAAATTTTGGTGTGCAAATCTGGATTAACCATTTTCCACCTACTTGGTACAATCTCATCGTCCTCTACTGTAGTAGATACTCCTTTCCACGCAGAAGAAGGTCGCCGACTGTTCCACGGCTCACTGCAAACCAATTTGGTGCGGTCATTTCCGTGCGAAGGTGCTCGACGTAAAACGTAATGGATGACTTCATCATTTCCCGCATTCCTACCGGGCTCCAAGAAGGCAACCCAGCAGGCAAAGGCCGCCTTAAGCCTTGTTGCAAGCCTTGAGCAGGCGAGATTCGGTACGTATATGGTAAAATGACTTCTCGAAAGTCGTAAAAAAATCTCAGTTACAACACTACGACGCCGAACGACTACCTACTCACAACGCCTATGTCATCGATCTGCTGGCGCAGAGCTGACGCCATGACAACCGACCACGCGAAAAGTAAAGCAACGCGTAACTCCTACGATCTACAACAAACGTGCGATCACACACTTTGCGCTTGCTGTTTTGATCAGGGAACTGATTGCTCACTAGCGCCGCCACCCACACCAGCAGCGAATCAAAATGGATAGCGTGACAAACAGGTGTGAATCGATCGAAAAATCTCGAAATGCTGCTGCACTCCAAATCATAAAAAATAAACCGCTAATCAACGTTGACGATACGGCGTGGATAATCGCTGAATGAGTTTATTTGAATCGGGATGACATCACCGAACGAGCGTTGCATTGATGATTGGAAATTTGCTTGCTCGCGTCTGTTATTGAATAACCGGGATCGATTTTAGACGTTAAAATCCTTGTTTACACAAATGCATCTTTCACTCGGTTGAAATCCTGTGTTTGTTAAAATAGGTAATTTTCAAAAATAGCAATGTTGCACGGAGACTGTTTTCAAGCGACACACAGCGTGAGAAGCAAACACGAGAATCCGCGGAAAATATGTGCGGTAAAGTGATATTGTATAACAGTAACAAGTCAAGGGTAAACCGTAGAAAATAAAAATCTATGTCGCACAGGTGCCATATGCTGTGGATTTTTTCGACTCAAGTGCGACGTTGGAAGAAGCTTGATGGCGTTGGCTAGGTTTCATAAATCACACGCTCGACAAAACAAAATTCGTTCTGACCACAAAAGTGTCGGTCAATTTAATACCGGGAATGTTTGAAATCTTCCCAATAGACTCGTGTGTCCCATATTACAATACACTATTGATGCACAACCAGGGATGCCAGATTTGCAAAATTGTCTCAAGGGGTATTCAACTCCGCCGAAAGATTTAGCGGTGCCGAAAGCTGTGCCAAGCGCTATGCCGAACGTGCCGAAGTGGGCCGAAGTGTGCCAATAAAGGGGTCAATATCCCACGAGTTTGCAAACCTTGAAGTTATTGTGCTTTAATTTTGTTTTTCGAAGGTGAAAGAGTTACTGCAAGATTCTGACTCGATGTTGCGATGAATTACTGATTCCTTGCAGGTGTGCAAAAACCGAGGGGTGCGACACATCTAAATCTCGATTTTAAATGGTCGAAAAATCTCACACTAGCGAATCAATCTACGAAAAATCTTGTTTCATCTCTTGCATCTAAACCGAGGGGGGCGACACATCTAAATCTCAAGTTTAGATGCTCAACAAATCTCACACTAGCGAATCAATCTTCGTAAAATCTTCTTTCATTTGTCTCATCTACTTTCATCGATCATCATCTTTTTGCAGGAAATCTTTAGAATCGTTATCAATCTTCTTTCTATCTATTCAGCGTGCGCGCAGTTAGCCACAGCAAAACACAATCTTTTTTGCATCGTATATAGAGTCGTTCCCCTCGATCTAAACCTATCAACTCGCATCGCTCTCCACCTTTTTGCAGGAAATCTTCAAAATCATAATGAATCGTGTTTCTATCTATTAAGCGCGAGTGCATCTCACAACAGCAAAGCAAAAAATGTCCTGCATCTTAGATAGAGTCGCCCCCCTCGGCAAAAACGAAGTCATAACCTGATCGATGGAGGAAGAAAATGCCACCAATATGCTTTGAAATCTTCTCCAACTAATACCCCGTTCACATTACAGCCTATATTACGTAATATAGGCTGTCTTGCAATGAGCACTCATACATAGGATTTCCAGTGAAAACTAGATGTATGAGTGCTCATTGCAAGACAGACTATATCACGTGATATACGCTGAAATGTGAACGGGGTATAAAGCAAACAAAGAACGCCCATAGGTTGTTGCGAGGCTCTTGCTAAACAACAAATTGCTTAAGGTGTGTTTGGACTATCTGATTTGTTGGTCTGATTCGAGCGGACTGCTCGATAAATTTTGTCAGATGCAATTTTCGGATGCGTTCACACTTCTTCGACATGAAGATAAGATTTGACGTTTGATTTGTCGAACGAAATAGGTTTGTGTTTAAGTTGCATTCGACTTGTTTAGCAAAATAGCGCAAGTGCGGTTAAAATATTGTTTGTGTTTTGATGGCATTCAGCAGAAAGGTAAACCAATTCAATATTGTCCTGTGTATGATTTGACTGATTTGTATTTTCCAGTGTGATTGGCCGAAGGATACCGTAATGGCTTTGATCATGGCCTGGTCAACAAAACAGTGTTTAAATAATACGAAGCATGTATTATATAAGAATAAGCATGCCAGACAGCAGGTCTGAGAGCCTACTAAGATTTTTTTTAGAGCTTTACAGATGTTCGGAGTTGAGAGTAGTTCGTAGATCTTGAAAAGACATCTACAAATCTTTAGAAAATTTTACAGAAATTACAAGAAATTTGCACATATTCAGAAACATTTAGAAGGAGATCGTAGATCTCCAGATAAATGTTCAAACTAAATTTCAAAACTTCAAGCAAGCTCAAATATTTCTAGATCAATTTGTTAAACTATAAGTGACATTTTGCATATCTTCAGTGAAATTTGCAGAACTTCAGTCCAAGAATCTACAGTGAAATATAAAGAATTTCACAGAAGTTTGGAGATCTATTGAAAAATTATTGACCATCAGTGA